ATTCATCTTTGGGATAACAGACATAACATTGAGTTTAAACATACCCCCCAACATATAACCCTTACCCACATACATTCCGCTTTTGGTAAGAACGACCTTGTCGGACTCAAAAACCATGCGAAAACCATGTTTACTAAGAAGAGACCCTGAGACAAGATTTTTACGAATGTCCGGAACATACAGGACTTCGTTCAAGGTCAGCTCCTTTCCTGACATCAACTTCCGGACCACCTTTCCTTTCCCCTCAACAATCGAGGTAGCAGAGTTTCCCATAAACAACTTCTCACCGTTTGTAACCGGTTCGAAAGTTGTAAACAGTTTCTGCTTGAAGCAAATGTGGCGTGTAGCCCCAGTATCAATCCACCATTCTCTTGGGTTTGAACCCACCAGATTCACCTCAGAGACAACGGCAGACAAGTGCATATCATCCTCCTCATGGGAGTGCTCTTGTAAGTCTGCCATATGAGCACGAGGTTTGATCTTGTATGGCTTCTTCTGCTTGCGGCAATCACTAGTTCGATGCCCCTCGTTACCACAGTTATAACACTTCCCAAAGAACCGATAACCAGGTTCTTGCGGCTTGTAAGCCGACGTCTTTGCAACACCACCCCTTGGCCCCAGCTTAAAGCTCTTGTTCACAGGGGCTTCTTCCTTATCCCAGAAGATTTTCCATGCTCAACGACATTGGCCTTTACTGAGGAGGTACTCCCTCCTTTCTTTCTATTATCCTCCTCAATCCGGAGTCGGACAACCAGCTCTTCAACAAACATTTCCTTGCGCTTGTGCTTCAAGTAATTCTTGAAATTCTTCCAACCATTAGGAAGTTTCTCAATGATCACAGCAACTTGGAATGACTCGTTCAAAGGCATCCCCTCAGCATGAATTTCATGCAAGATCACTTGGAACTCCTGGACTTGGCTTATCACAGTTTTAGAATCTACCATTTTAAAATCAAGGAACGGTCAACCACAAATATTCATCTTGCCCCGACATCCTCGTACCCTGTACTTTTTAGTCCAGAGATTTCCATAATTCATTTTGCTGAGCTTCTTGGAACAAACACCTATAGCGTGAGTCTTTTGCCAAGCTGTGAAACACATATAGTCCCAGCAAAGTTAGTCTTTCATGCTTCCATGTGTCCAAGCGCCAATGACTTTCTACCTGTCAGGCTCATTCATCTGCCACAGCTGCGAGGATCTCACTTAGAACCTTGGCCAAGGTTTAGCGTGCGGTTACAAGAAAACAGCATCTTTTGCTGCCATCTCTTAAAGATATTTCCCTAGCCAAAAGTTTTGCTGGGCGACTCATGGTGACTAACCGTGTCCTTCACAGAAAGCGGAGTAGTCAACACCAGGGATTGACACACAGGAGGTCACGCAGTTAGGGTTGGCAATCTTAGTTGCCCCGGGTTCAAATCCCCACTAAATTAGCAGTTAGCAACAGCATACAGTTGATGTTCATTCGCAAAATACCCAAATATCACTTCTGTGTTTCCAGAAATTAAAACTAACCCTTTAGATCCCTTAGAGAAAAATTATTCACAAAATTTAGGTTTCAACCACAAAACTTTAGGAATCGAACATGGTCAAGAAAGTTCCCAGGAAGACTGGAGGGGTCACATCGGTCCCACTTAAAACCCAGTTAACCTTTTGAAAAACTTTTAAGAGCATGTTGACTCCTAGTCCGTGATAAACAAATTAAGAATTAAATTTTCTTAGGAATGAACTAGGTTAAAGCAAACCAAGGTGCTAAAACTTTTACAAGCAATGTAAAAACCATTGCTACAACAATATAAGCAAATAAAACTTGCTACTACAAATTGGTAAACAAATCAATTACATCTCAAGCAAACATGCTTCAAACATTTTGATAAAATAGTCAATCCATAAGGATTCTTGTAGTCCAAAAGCTTTTCCACGCTTAGGTATTCCTATTCAACACAAAACATTAGTAGTCCAAACATTTTTGTTTTTACATTCCAAATTCTAATTCATTTAGTTTTATATTTGTTTTTCGCATTGGTATCCCTACAAAGAAAGTTTAGTAGCAAACCACAAACAAAATACAAACAAATAATCTAAAAAATTTAATTATAATAAATAATTGAAACCATCTAGCCAACTATTAATTATATAAGTAACCAACTAATATAAGGTACCAAAACAAAATACAATTTGTAACTTCAAAATTAAATTACAACTTTAAAATAAAGTTCAATACTCATGAGTCATGAATGAAATTAATTCATTATAAACATTTAAACTAATAACTCCAAATAGATAAGTCAAATTCAAAGTTAATGCACCCAATTAAATAATTCAAATTAATGCACCTAATTAAATAATTCAGATTAATGCACCCAAATAAATATTTAGATTAATGCACCCAATTAGATAATTCAGATTAATGCACCCAATTAAATATTCAGATTAATGCACCTAATTAAATAATTCAGATTAATGCACCCAAATAAATAATTTAGATTAATGCACCTAATTAAATAACTCAGATTAATGCACCCAATTAGATATTTAGATTAATGCACCCAATTAGATAATTTAGATTAATGCACCCAATTAATAATAATTCATATTAATGCACACAATTAGATAATTTAGATTAATCATGTACACAATTCATAAAACTCTATAACTCCAAATACATTAAATTATGTAATCAGCCTAGAAAATAATAAGCATGTAACAAATTGAGACTAGAATAGAATTAGCATGTCAAAATTGCAACATCCATAAATTATATTTTATAACCTTAAAATTCATGCAAATCATGGTAGGGAAATGATGAACCATACGCATAAAACAAGATCATACTAATACAATTAAGTATGCAAATTATAATAGAGCATTCTAATTAAACTAAGCAATTAGAGAGTACCATGCATAATTTACAATTATTGAAATAGTGAGCAATTCCGCAGCAATTCCGCAACAATTCCTAATAACATTATACAAAGCTAACCTACTAGTCTATATAAATCTATTCGATCAATTTCATAGAAAAGTATATATAATCTGTTTTAAGCTTGTTGTTTTAAAATTGTGAAATTAATAAATAGATTTATGAAGAAAACAAATTATATACCAAGAACATATGCTGATAATTACAACTAAATTTCAACAGAAATACACAAAAAACAATAAAGGGTAAAGAGACAAAACCGAAGCCTGCACGGAAGCAGTTTCCTTAAAACAGATTTCGCCGCCTCACGGGTCGAGTGCTTGAGGAAACCCGGCGTCTGTCTCCCAGGATACGACGGTCAAACCAGCTACGGCAGAAGCACTATCTGTCTAGCTTAGCGAACAAACAATGGTTAGACTCTCTCACAATAGGAACTATCAAGCAAACTGACTTGTAAAATGGAAGCAAAAATTTCTATATTAAAACTTGAAGGAGGGTCTCAATTTATACATGTATAGGGGAGAGAGGAAAAGCCTCCAGCCTTTAAAGCTAGTCATTAAAACACCAAGCATCCATAGCCCCTTTCCACAAAATGAAAAGTATGGATGCCCAAAGGATTCACACCATTTAGCTAAAAAAAAAGATTTAAATACTCTTTAAAATCCTATTCATGAATCTAACATTATGAAACAATTTCTTGGCAATTTCTTATTCAAAATCCAATGATTTTTGGCTCACTTGGACCCAACACAAAAAATGGTTAGAACCCACTTTAATATTTAATTAAAGTCACCACACTTTAATATTAAATTAAAGTCCCCAAAAATCATTTTTTCCAACAGAAATTACATTCCCCCCCCCCTCCCAAAAAATAAATAAATTTAAGTGAGAAGGAAAAAACTCAATGAATGAATTTCGCATATGTAATTGTGAACATTTAATCTTACGTCTATTTTTTTTTGGAGGGGGATACATTTCATCTTATATCTACACATTCTGCATCATGTACCTGCTGTGTATGTAGACTTATTCAAAACTCGATTCTATCTATTGTCCTCAATGAAAAATCATGTTACATTGGCTATGTAGTACTCCCAACCAATAAGTTATTGCAATAAAATGAGTCATCGTTTGTCACCTAATTACTTAACAAAAACAAGTCAACATCTTTCACTTGTAAAATTTTTCAATACATAATTAATTTGAAATACCATATGATATTCCGGAACTACTGAATAATTACCCATCATCCACATGGCTACTAGGCAGCCCAGAATCAATCAAAGAGGGAATTTGTGGTCTGCATTGCAAGGATTTTGCCGGCCACTACACAAAAAAGGCTCTCATATGAACTTCTTTGCCCTTTTCTGCTTGTCTCCTTCAATTTCCACATCTAGCAAAACCATCCTTATACCATACTCTTCTTTTTTATCTTTTTGGAAAGGACCACAGCCACTTCACGACTTATAACAAGAAAGAAAAAATGCATTAATAATATTAAAGGTCACCAAATGACAGGGCTCTCTACAAGAAACGAGCTGGTCCATACAGGTCGCCATTCCTCTCTCACCCTACTTTTTCAATTTCAATGATGTTTGTCCCCAACCCCCTCTATGTGAACTACTCATTCAACTATATGGACTGAAATCATCCACACAACCAACCACACATATTCATACTTGTGCTTAAGCTAATCACAAGCAAGGATTTGAATTCTGTTAATTATTTCTGTGTTTCACACATTTTCGCCATTCAAATACAAAGTTCAATCTTTATTTGTTACAACTAATCCATCCTACAAGTAAAATTACTAAAGATCTCTAAAACATCACCTCTAAATTTATCCACACTGATGTGCCAGGCTAATTTATTTACTTTGCGTCAATCTTATCCTAATATTTTGTTCATTATCTTTCTAGACTAATAGAGATCACTTGGTTAAGTGAAAGACAAGGTCAGTTTCACTCCACCCACTTGGTTAAAATGGTATCACTTCGCACTCAATATTTAATCCAAGCTATGGACGTCCTTGATGCCCCCAAGGTATACATGTCCAATGGTTTGGATTGGTGAGGCCCCACAAGAAGGAAGAATGGGAATGGATAGGGAGTGAACAGGAGGCACTGTAGTTTGTGAATTATTATTGAAATGAAGTCAACCAACTACTTTGACCTGTTCATAGAATGCCTGCTCAGGCAAGCTGGCCAAAACTCACAAAACAGTACAAGACTTAACATTAATTCCAAGACTACCAAATAGCCAAATGAAACAATAGAACACATATGGGTGGAAGAAACAAGGAAAAAAAACACACAAAGAAAAAGATAAAACAAAAGTGTGGGGAGTACTGATCAAGCAGAAGGAGGGGGAAATGCAATCACCTTGCATTAGAGAGGCCTCAAAAGCCTGCTGTCATGGTTGCTGTCCAGCTCCTTTTATGGGCTTGCCTGATCAGCTGCAAAAACCCCCTCCCAATTCCAAAACTGGTGTCACCGCCACCACTCGCCAGTATGATTTTGATGCTGCCACAGTTTCCTCCCTCCACCCACACTCTCAATTCACTAACCATGAGTCCCTGCCTTCATTGGGTGAATTGTTTTTTAACTTCAACAAATCATACCCACAATACTCACAGACCATTCTGGCCGATCAAATCCGAGCCCAAGAGTACTACCATCTCTCCCAATCAAACCATGTCTGTCTTGATTATGTTGGGAATGGCCTCTTCTCCTATTCCCAGCAACAGTTTCATCCAAGTTCCTCTTCATCATCACTGTCTTCAAATGTTCCCTTCTTCGATATTCTTTACAAATCAGTCAGTCTAAATTCTCAAATACTATATGGAGGTGAAGAGTCAGAATTCGAATCCAAAATCCGAAAAAGAATCATGGAATTCATGAATATCTCAGAAGACGATTACTCCATGGTTTTCACTGCCAACAAGTCCTCAGCTTTTAAGCTTCTAGCAGACTCATATCCATTCCATTCTAATCGGAATCTTGTCACCATCTACGATTATGAGAGTGAGGCAGTGGAAGCGATGATCAAAAGTGCCATGAATAGGGGCACATGTGTCATGTCAGCTGAGTTCTCATGGCCCAGTTTGAGGATTCATACCAGAAAATTAAGGAAGATGGTAGTGAGTAAGAGGAAGAAAAAGAAGAGGGGACTGTTTGTTTTCCCTCCTCAGTCTAGCATGACTGGAGCGCGGTATCCTTTCCAATGGATGAGCATGGCACAAGAAAATGGGTGGCATGTCTTGCTTGATGCAACTGCATTGGGAGCTAAGGACATGGAGACCTTAGGCCTTTCCCTCTTTCAGCCAGACTTTCTCATCTGTTCATTTTTTAAAATTTTCGGAGAAAACCCATCTGGCTTAGCATGTCTGTTCATCAAGAAGTCAAGCGCTTCAGTCTTCACCACATCCAACATTGCTACAAGCAGAGGGATTGTGAGCCTTGTACCGGGACAATCACCAACAATTGAGTTACCAAAAGAGGACTTACCTGGGCCAAGTTCATCCTCCACATCAATAAATCTTCACCAGAGTGAAGATGACATTTCTGAAATTCAAGAAATTCAAGAAAGTGAAGAACTCAGCAGAAAACACAAGAAACTATCAGTCTCTGAAATTTTTAAGGTAGATAATAGGCCCCTAAACTCTGCCCAATCTAGAAGCAGTGAAATGGGTAGTGGGAGTTCAGAGTTGGAATGCAGGGGCTTGGACCATGCAGATTCATTAGGCCTGATACTGATCAGTAGCAGAGCAAGGTACCTAGTCAACTGGCTGGTAAATGCATTGATGAGCCTTCAACATCCACATTCAGAAAATGGACTCCCCTTGCTAAGAATCTATGGACCTAAGGTACGGATAAAGAGAGGACCAGCTGTGGCATTCAATGTGTTTGATTGGAAAGGAGAGAAGCTTGATCCAAAACTTGTACAGAAGTTGGCTGATCGAAACAATATCTCTCTTAGTTGTGGATTCTTGCACCGTCTTTGGTTCTCAGACAAATATGAAGAAGAGAGGGAGAAACAATTAGAGAAAAGAAAAGATGAACAAGAAACAACGGTTGGAAATAAGAGAAAACACAGTTTTCATACCGGGATATATGTGCTCACGGCTTCAATTGGGTTTCTAACAAACTTTGAAGACATGTATCGGCTTTGGGCATTTGTTTCGCGGTTCCTAGATGCAGATTTTGTGGAAAAAGAACGGTGGCGATACATGGCTCTTAATCAAACAACTATCGAAGTTTAGGCTACAATTCAATTCTTTCATTCTTTCCACATTATGAGGAGTATTGATTTATTATATATTGTAGGTTTTAGTATTACCTTGCAGATAATTATTTTAATATTTGGATGATGGATATTTGGTTCTTTTAATTCAAATTCCAAACTTGAAGTACGTGCATTCTGCAATTTTACTCGGTATTTTATATGGCAAATGCTACAAATTCTGACAAGTCAATAAACGAACCAAAGCCAACCCAAGTTGAATGATTTGTTATGGGACTTTGTAAATGGAAATTATCCCAAAATAAGCTGAATGATGAAGAGAAACAAGAAAATGTGACAATCTCATAAACACTCACAAGGTTGGGCCTAAACTAAATATGCAAATTGTTTTCTTTCTGAAGATCCATAGAAGAAGTGTCATGCACAAAAAATTCAAGGTTAGGAAAATGGTTGCTGACTATATAATGCAAATCTCTGCTTCTGTGGCATTTAGGCAAACACCATATGCTCAATTTTATCACCACCCAGAACAAGTTCTCAAAAAAAATTAGCATGCTTTTTCTCTATACTAGTCATCTTCAATCTCCAAAGATTAACCAACTTATCTATATTGATCTAAGCAACAGCATGTATATATATACTCCAATAATAGCATACAATTCAGAGGCTCCAACAAGGTTTGGCTCTATGAAAACCTACAAGGAAAGTTTGATTATACACAAACAAAATCACTCACATGAATTTGCACTACGAGCGTCATGCATATGTATACATTATGTCAATTTATACAATAAATATATTATAATTTATAAAATTAAAATTAAAAATTAAAAATTATTGGGTGAGATATATGACAAACATCTCTTTTGAAAGAACAACATGTGATGTGTTTTGCTTTGGAGTTGGTTCATGTGGAGGTGGTCCTATTGATTTCCCCCTTTTAGAGGTATTCATTTTTAAAAAATATATAAATATAGTAAAATTTTGTAGTTATGAAAATTGGATCGATATAATTCTTTTTTACATGATCCATGTATAAAGGTTTAAAAATGAACCAAGCAAATGAACCCACGAGTTGAACTGAACAAGTTGGGCTGAACAGAGCAACCTAATTAAGTAAAATAAACTGGAGAGAATCTTTCTTCAATTTCATACTATAATAGGAAGTTCAATTTATTAATAAAAAAAATCTTAGGTTGAATTTGTAAACATGGATTTGAAGTTGATAACAGATTTGAAATTCTTATATCATAAATGATATATCCATCTAATTTAGGAGCTCTAAAAGGGCACTAATAATGTGAAGAAAAAAAAAACAAAAAAAATCAAAATATCACATCACATAAGACCCACACAGAACTCGAACTCCCAATCTTTTTTCTTCTTATATATACACATTTATTATCAAATCACAGATTGGAGGCAAGACTTTTTTTTTTTGGGTAGGAAAGGTCAAGACTTTAGGCCCAAGTTCAGGCCAGGCCCACATAGTACAAGGACAATCTCAAAGCCAGTTCTCAGTTTGGGCCCAAGGCATCCCAACAAAATTGAGCAGAAATTTACAATTTCCAGTTAAGACCAATAAAATAAAACTAAAACCACTTATTAAAAAGAAAAAATACATTACACTACTAAGATTGGAAACTTGTTTCCTTTCTCTCTTTCTTTTTTTTTTTTTTTTTTTTAATTTTTATTTTTGCTATTGAGGTTGGGCGTTGGTTTTTTTTGAAGAAGATCTTGAAAGGAAGTGAGCCAAACTTGTATGGATACCCTGTCTAGTTATGATATTAAAAATATTTGCTATGAAATTAGGTTTTTTCATCCAATCAAGTGCCATAATAAGTGCATAATATCTTACAATTCAAATGATGTACCTATGGAAATTATGCAACTTACCCTCAAGACCCCCAAGATGTGGCCTAGGATGCTCTAAAAAAAGAATCTTATGATGAGCATCTATTTGAGTAGATCATTTCCATTATCTAATTCACGTTTTTTCTTATGTTGTGGAAAGCCGTAAAATTTGAAGTTTCATGCTTAATGGAAGAAATGTTTTTGGTGGATCCAAGACTTGGAACCCCCAAAATTTGTATTGCTAGATGAGCCTATAGGAGTGCCAATCTACCAAGCCACCAGATTTGAGAATAAAGCATGATCTAATAATTACAAAATGTTGGACACTGGACAAAGGATTTAAGGACAGAGTATTCCATGTTCTAGAATTTATCTATTTAGTTTTAGTTGAGTAGACAAAGGACCCAGGTCCATAATAATTGATTTTTTAATTTTTACAAACATGATAAAACTATGTGCCTACAATTTATTAGATTTTTTTTTTTTTTTTAATAAGTGCTATACACAACCTTATAAAATGAAAAGATCGAATTGACATCCATAGTGAGTTTCATGATTCAAATATATTGACCATTAGGCTATTAGTTTGATAACCTTAAAATTCTGTTTAAAAAGAAAAAGAACAGAATGTATTTTTTATGTCATTTTCAGATATTGTAGGAAGAAATAAATAAGTAATGTTCGCATTTGGGCATATAACCCAAGGGATGATGACCAATCTTGAAAGTAACTCTCACGTGGAAACCAGGCCATGTAAAACCAGTGCAAACCAACTCATGGTGAGAGTTTAATTTGTGGGGAAATTTTATTATGATTTGCATAAGAAAATTATGGATCTTTTGTGATGAAAATGAAGTATATTTATGCTGTGTTATGTTAAAGCCAATAATCAAGTAATAAATATCACTAGATCATTCAGGGCTCTTCACATATTTTTTTTCATTCAATAAAAAATTTTTAATTGGTTTATTGACTTCTTTTGGAAAACAATTAGCCATCAACTGCGGATGATTAAGCACTTCAATTAGTTTATTGACTTATTTTGGCAATCTCTCTTTCATGACTTTTAGCTCTATCAATAAATCTCTTTCATTAATATCGGAAATGTCACCATGTTTTAAAAAAAATTCAAGATTCACACATTCCGCCTCCAACAATTCATTGCTGCACTTTTCAAGGCAAACAAAGAGCCAAAGTTTGCCTCATATACTTTAAATCATGCGAACCTATTTTTGAGTGAACATAGAGCTTGATCAACAAAAAAGTTACTTGGGACCTTTTAATTTTGAATAGGCCTTTTAATTTTTTAATGAGTAAATTTATTTTAAGTTAATTTGGGTTTTTTTTTAATTTTTTTTGGACTTAAAACATACAGAATATATTACGCTAAACTATAATAGGAGGGTGCCTTTTTTTAGATCTATTTTAAGGGGTCCTAACCTATGGCTTGGTGGGCCTATGCCCAGGGCCAGACCTGTTTGTATCATAAAAGGAGTTTTTTTTTTATAAATATTTTAAAAAATCAAACTATTTATCAAAGTAGTCCATTTTTCAAACTATTTATCAAAGTAACTCATTTTTCAAACTTTTTATCAAACTAACCTATTTTTTAAAAAACATAAATTTAAAATGCGATTTCACCATGAAATCGCATCTTGCGATTTTATATTGATTTGACTTACTGATGTATAAATATGAAACATGTCAATATGAAATTGCATATTTAAGATAGGATTTTACTACGAAATTATATTTTGAACTTGCAATTTTAAAAAGTGAGTTAATTTAATAAATAGTTTGAAAAGTTTGTTATTTACCTAAATAGTTTATTTTTTGAAATATTCACAAATAAATAAATAACTCATCTTACTAAATCTATTGAAATCGGATTTTATAATTAATCAAACTATATCTCGTACCTTAATCTAATTAGGTTTCTAATCAGGCCATGTCACTGTCAATATCGAATTTGACTTTGATCTAATCAATGCTATCTAAATCAATTGGTATATTTACCAAGAAAAATAAAATGTGAAATGGGGTGGATATATGAATTTTGAAGACAAAATATTCACAAAATTTAAAACCAACAAACAAAAGATGCTAGTAGAGATTTCATGTGTAAGCATTTTATTATTTTATCGTATAGTAAAACAAACAAATGAAGTTCATTCAAGAATATATAGAACAAAACTTAGGGATGAAATTAATGGAACCTATTAAAAGTATAAAGTTATTAGTGGCGTATAGGAGTTTAAAAATGGCCTGCGGCCCGTGAACGACCTGCTATAGGCCCGGTCTGTTTAGACTCGGATTCGAGCTAAGTTCAAGACCTTGTGCCTGGATCATCATTTTGAAACCCAGCACGGCCCGTGGCCTGGCCTATCGACCCACTTAAGTCCCACTCAAGGCCCCGCCTGCCCGAGCCCTAGTGTCTTTTTTTATGAAAAATAATAAAATTTTAGTAAAAAAAAATTTTAAAAATTATTCAGGCCCACCCGAGCCCAGACCCAGGCCCACTAGCCCTCCCAAGGCCCAAATATTCACTGAGCCTAATTTTATGGCTTGTAAACCGATCCGAGTCGACTCAAATTTTGGCGAGAACCCGCGAGACCTGACATCCCTAGTGTACATATGAAAAGTTGAGCTGATTTTTTAGATGAGTTGAGAGAACCTATAACTAAAAAATTTATTGCCTTTTTTTAAAGTACTAGTTTATATGGCCTCTCTTTTTAACAAGATTTTCTTAATTTATTTTAGGTGTTAATTTTGATTTGTTATAATTCTAAATCATGTAAAATCCAACTTTATTACCATATCATTGTGAGAGAATTATGAGTTTCAAATTATGAGTCTCTAATTGTGTGAGTGATTTTCCGATCACACCGCCCAACTCAGTATTCAACTGGAGAGAACTGGCAAAATAGATGACACCTAACTGACCTGCAATAAAAAGAGAAGATTCCGGCGATGGTTCGTCCACCTGGGGGCACTCCGACGATCAAGTCAGTATATCTCTCAAAGATAATCAATAGTGCTAGACTCACTGTTCAGAACATAAATTGCGTACTTTAGACCCATCGGGGGTGCCTTTCTTTTATAGTTACCTCAATCCTAGTCCTACTAGAAGCCAAGCTTCAATGGACTCTTGCTCAGTGCTTATCCTGGACTCTCTAATAGATAAAGATAAACTCCCTAAGAATGTTATCCTTATCCATGCTGAAGTCCTTCATCATTCTAGGACTCTTGTCCCTTATCCGCTTATCTCGGATTCCGATATCTTCGAAGATAACCTCGGCCTTGCCGAGATCACCTCGGCGTTATGACCTGGACACGTGGCACCTCAGCTAAAATGTCGGCGTCACATTGGCCACATGTTGGGACTCAGAAAATATATCCCCACAACTGCCCCTAGGTTCTATTACCTCGGCATCCTGAGGTGATGGAACCTATATCGGTACTTCCTGCCAGTACATCGGCGTAAGTCGAGATCATCATCATAGGCCGACATGTCTTCTTAAAGATCAAGATTTCCAAGAACTTCTTCACGCGCATGAGCTGTCATGCATAACAACTCAACTGTTTTTAGCCATGCGTCTTTTTCTTACTGGATCGTACCTGATACGCGTCTGTAAATCGAATCTTTCTCACGTGCGCCGCCTGGCGCATACGTCCTTCTAGGCACATTTATGACCCTTTTGTCCCCGTTTCTGTTTTATCAAAATTTCTTTCCTTCCCCCGTCTTTTCACTTTTCATTGTTTCTGAAGTTCTCTCTCTCTCTAGCTTTCCATCTCCTCTATTGTTCCAAGCTTTCAAGCTCTACTACCACCGTTGTTCTCCTCTTCCGGCGAGACGTTTGCTATTCTTCTCCGTTGTTACCGTTCGTCCGACTTCGGCGAACTCAACACCGGCCTTCTTCTTTCTGGCAAGCCACTGTTTCTCCTGATTTCAGTTTCTTGCTACCTTACTGAAATTTATCGGTTTACCTGTTGTCTTTTGCAATCTTTGTTCATACTTCTGATATTTCATCTTGCATTTTGTATTCCACCATATATTTGAACTTGTTTGCTTCATAATTCTGTTTTTACCCAAATCATCTTCTTGAATATACACTGTTCACACACCAGTTGATTTCTGCTACTGTTCCTGACCTGATACCCTTTGTTCTTTCAATGTTCTTAACAATCCATCTTTGTTCTTGATTCTGAAGTGCATCCCTGTTTTTCTATTTTCCAGATTCGTGCATCCAATCTTCATTTCCATAGATCTAGGTTTGGTATTTGCTTGTAGAACCCTTGATTATTAGGAAAAACTGAAACTATTTCCACAAACTTTTGCCCAGCACATACTTTAGGTTGTTGCCGAGGTCCGTAAAAACCTTTTAGAAAACACTCCCTCTGAAATCCAACCCCTTCAGTTTAAGCCGATATCATGGGTATGTGGAAACATAGGGTAGACACCCCGACAAAACTAGAATACTTTAGGCGAGAGTTTTCCATCCCTGCCGACGTCCATCTGAGGTTGGCTGGGGATGACGACTCCATCAAGCCCACTACTGATTCCATGCCCTTTCCTATCGTAGCCTTTATTGAGTGCGGACTTCGGCTTCCACTCAACATCCTTTTCTGCGAGATAATCCACTACTATAAGTTGAACCCAATGTAACTTGCCATCAACTCATACCGAGTTATTAATGGTATCATAGCCTTAGCAAAACAAGAAAACACTAGAATCACCTTAGCCGATATCCAGTACTGCTACATCATGTGTGGCCTCAAAAGAGATACGGGCTACGTTTACTACCTCAAGCCAAGATCTACAGAGTACAAAATCATAGCCGACCTTCCTGACTCCAACAAGGGAGCTGGAGACGACTACTTTATTACCTCGGGGAACTGGGAGTTCGCTCCAGATGAGGACCTCCATCTTTACCCTCTTCCTCGAACTATTTTTGTAAAGGGCAATCGTAAGAGCCCTGTGTTCATATTACTTGTTTGTTTCAAGGTCTTCGATGCTCTATTTGTTTCTAATTCTGTTTTTCCTTGTAGCTCTTCCTCAGCCTCCAAAGGGCTTCCGTCAGTCTTTCTTTCCCAGCAAAGACTTCTGAATTTTCCAATTCACAAGCGGAAGGCCCCTCTGCTTCTCAACTTCATCCCCACGTATAAGTCGGTTCTTCCCGACGTCCCAAAAAAGAAGAAGAAAAGCCTTTCTCCACCTTCTGCCACAACTCCACAAGTTACATCCACATCTTGGACAAACCAAGGATCAACCTCTGATCCAGCTGAACAACCGTCAACCTCGACTCCATACCTGATCTCGATATCCCAACGACAACGCCGGCGACGAACCGTTTTTTCTGCTGAGATGGGCTGTCAGAAAGCTATTGCGAAAGATCTCCTAGCCAGTATCTCATCAACCGTTGACACTCCACCAGCGCAAACCCAGCCTCCACCAAAGCAAAAAAGAATTAAGAAGGCTCAACCAAAGGCCAAGGTGACTCAGGTTGACACTGGGACACTTTGCCGATCTCCAAACTGGCTGAAAGTGACAAGTCCCAGCCTACCACGGAGAAGAGGCGTGCCGAGGCCCAACCATCCAATTCTCCGAAATCAAAAAGGCCGAGGTCATCCTCTGCAACCACCTTGGGGTCCAAAAAACATGATGCCCCTTGGGCCCCAAAAATCATTCTAGAAGACAAGCCAGTTATGGCCAACGATAGTGCCGATGACATTAATGTAGCTCTCAGTACCGCTCTGCTTCTCCCCGGCGATCTCAACTGAAACGCCAAGTTGAACGAGTATGAAAACTACGCCCTGATGTTTCAACACTCCATTCAAGTTAGTGTCTTTATTTGACAACTTTTTCTTTCCTTCTGTTCCATACTTGTAATTTTTTCTAACAACTTATGTTCTGTTTTACTTTCAGGCCATCCAGTATGCCCATTCCTTTTCAATACAATCTTTTGAGAATCGTGAGAAGTTGGCCGAGAAGAAGAGGGAGGTCTCCTCTCTTCAAAAGACTAATAAGAACTTGCAGTCAAAGATGAAGACCCTGGAAGATCAGGCTGAGGATGCTATCAAGGCTCAACATGACGCCGAAGAGAAAACAGGTGCTGCTGAGGCGATAAACAAAATTCTCCAAGCCCAGATGAAAGAGGCCAAGGACAAGATGGCCGCGGCCCAAAGGGAGCTTCAAGACGCCCTGGCCACCAAAGAGGCCGAGGTCAAGGCCGTCGACGAGAAGGGCTACAACGAAGGGGTGGCCGATGTCACGGCGGACTACGAAAAGCAGGTAAAGCAGGCATGCAACAGGGGTTTCACCCTTGGTTGGATGTCTCTTCTAAAAAAGCTTGAAGTTCCCAAGGACTCGCCCCTTAAGAACGCCGACGACATTCCTCTTCCATTTCCTCCAACTCCAACTCAATCTGATAACGACTCTGAATCTGAGGAGGAAGTTTTGGTGAGGAAGTCAAACGATGTTGCTAGGGCCAAGTCTCCTCCTCAAAATGAGCAAGTCCTGGACTTGACTCAAGATGAGGAGAATGAGGAAGTCCCCAAGGATGCCACTCCAGAAAAGGCGTCATCGGACACACCTCCTGCCGACAAGAGCATAGATGTGACCCTTCAAGAAATTGATGCTGAACTTGCGACCGAGAAGGTTACCGAGATGGTTACCGAGATGTCTTCTCAGCAGTCCTCCGAGGTCCAAACCCAGCCTGCTGCTGAAGACTCTTGATTTTATGTTTTTCTCTTTCTTTTGTGCTTTGTACTTTTCTTTTTGGAACAATTGTAGGCTTTGGCCGACATGTCAACTCTTTTAAAATAACTCTCTTTTCTAAATGCTTGTATGTGTGCCTTCTCTATATTACTCTTGTATGACTCCATACTTCAAATATATCTTTAGTATACACTTCAATCTTTGTGCAATCTTTTCGAGATAACACACCTCGGTCATACAGACTTCGTTTAACTTTTAACTTGTAAACTTTTCTCAAGTTTCAAAAAGTATCATCATCTTGGTTTGACTTCAACTTGTAAACTTTTCTTAAGTTTCAACAAGTGTTAAACATCATATTGGTTTAACTTCAACTTATAAATTTTTCTCAAGTTTCAACAAGTGTTAAACATCATTTTGGTTTAACTTCAACTTGTAAACTTTTCTCAAGTTTCAACAAGTGTTAAACATCATCTCGGTTTAACTTCAACTTGTAAACTTTTCTCAAGTTTCAACAAGTGTTAAATATCATTTCGATTTAACTTCAACTTGTAAACTTTTCTCAAGTTTCAACAAGTGTTAAACATCATATCGGTTTAACTTCAACTTGTAAACTTTTCTCAAGTTTCAACAAGTGTTAAATATCATTTCGATTTAACTTCAACTTGTAAACTTTTCTCATGTTTCAACAAGTGTTAAACATTATTTCTTCTCTACCCCCTAATGTGAACCTAAGTTCCACTTGGGGTCTCATTACGCACGTATTCCGAAACAACGTTATGTATCTTCATCAGTCACAAATAAAGAAGAATTCTGCGAAAATTTTATTCATTATGTAGGCAAATAACAAGGACAATCTAATGATAGAAAAACTTTAGATTACAAGTATTCTAGGGTCTTGGCAACTCTTTGTCGTCACTATCTTCTAGCCGATATGCCCGTTGCCCAATACCGAAGTGATTCTGTAGGGTTCTTCCCAGTTTGGGCTAAGCTTGCCCTCCCTGGGATCCTTCTTGTTGCCGACGACTTTTCTCAGGACAAGGTCACCGACTTGGAACTCCCTTGGATCGACTCTTTTATTATAAGCTCTGCAAGCTGTTGCTGGTAGGCTGCAAGCTGAATTGCAGCTTTCTCTCTTCTTTCTTCTAGTAGGTCCAAATCTCGGGCTAAGAGTACATCATTAGTCCCATTCTTTACTCCTTGGGTTCTGATCCCAGGAATGCTGACCTCCAGCGGAATGTGACAGCTTCTATGCCATAGGCCATGGCAAAGGGGGATTCCCACATTGATCTTCTCGGCGTAGTCCGATATGCTCAGAGCACGTTTGGTAGTTCATCCACCCACTTTTCTTTTGCTGCTTGCAACCTCTTCTTTATCCCATCTAAGATAATTTTGTTGGATGCTTCTTCTTGTCCATTACTTTGAGGAAAGCTTGGGGTTGAAAAATAGTTCTTGATCTTTAACTTTGTGCAGAAGTTCTTGATTAGCTTGCTGTCAAATTGTGTTCCATTGTCAACAACTATTGCTCTTGGAATTCCAAATCTGGTGATGATGTTCCTCCATAAGAAGTTCTTCACGTCTACATCTCGGATCTTGGCTAGGGGCTCAGCTTCTATCCACTTGGCGAAGTAGTCTGTTGCTACCAACAGGTACTTCATTTGTCCAGTTGCTTGGGGCAGGTGCCCAACGAGATCCATGCCCCATTGGGCAAACGGCCAAGGACTGGATACTGGGTTTAGGTCTGCTGCTGGTTGGTATATCAGTGGTGCAAACCTTTGGCATTTTTCACATTTCTTCATATAGGCTTCTGCATCTTTCTACATGTAGGGCCACTTATACCCCTGAGTAATGGCCCTGTGGGCAAGTGATCTGCCCCAGTGTGGCTTCCACAGATTCCTTCATGTATTTTATATAAAAAATCTTCAACTTGTAATGGGTGTACACACCTTAAAAGGGGTCCAGTGAAAGATTTTCTGTAGAGATGTCCTTCTGCTATTAGACTGAATCTTGCCGACTTCAATCTGATCTTGTGTGCCTCCTTGTGGTCATCTGGCAACTTTCCTTCTTTTAGGAACGCAACAATTGCATCCATCCAGCTTGGTCCCATGTCCATACACATTGCTTCACACTCTGTGGTCAGTGGTTCGATGCTCGGGCCCGACAAGTATTCGACCATGACTGTCCTTGCTTTTCCAGGTTGTATTGCACTATCCAAATTGGCTAGTGCATCGGCATGACTATTATCATCTCGGCTAATCTAATGTAGTCGGCAATTCTGAAATAAAGCTACTAACCTGTTGACTTCCTTTGCGTAGGCTGACATCCTTTCATCTCGGGCTACAAATTCGCCTGTTGTTTGGTTGACTGTGAGCTGGGAGTTACAGAAGACTATTACTTCATCTGTCTCTGCTGCTACCGCCAGCTTTAGTCCTGCAATCAATGCTTCGTACTCTACTTCATTGTTTGAGGCCTTGAACCCCAATCGAATGGACTGTTCTAATACTTCTCCATCTAAAGATACCAGTACTACTCCTGCCTCCGCTCCTTACCGATTTGAGCTCCCATCGATAAACAGTCGAAAAGAGTCGCCGATGTAAATGCTGCAGGGTCTGAGTTTTTCATTTTTTCTTTGTTCTGTTGCATATGGCTGGGCTTCTCCTTACTTTCTTGGACATCATTCACCTCGGCTCAACGGAGCTCAATGTACGATGGATTCTGGTGTGAACTCGGCCACGAAATCGGCCAAAACTTGACCTTTGATTACTGTCTAGGTCTGTATTCCAAGTCATACTGTCCCAAGGCCACTGCTCATTTGGCTATTCTTCCCGTCAGGTCTCCTTGTTATAGCAAAGACTTCAAGGGGTGTTCTGTTAGCACCACAATTTTATGGGCTTGGAAGTAATGGTCCAGTTTCTTTGAAGCCATTACTAAAGCTAGTATCAATTTTTCTAAGGGTAGATACCTTGTTTCTACATCAGCCAGGGTTTTGCTTACATAGTAAATAGCCCTTTGCTCCCCTTGTTCTTCTCGGATTACCACTGCGCTTACTGCGTGTTCTGAGACTGCTAAGTACAAAAACAACTCCTTCCCAGGTTCTGGATTTGAAAGAACTGGAGCTGTGGTCAAATATTTCTTCAGGTCGGCCAAGGCGGCCTCGCATTCTTCTATCCATAAAAAATCTGTGGCTTTCTTCACTAAGTTGAAGAAAGGTTTACACTTGTCTGAGCTTCCGCTTATGAACCTATTCAGGGCTGCGGCCCTTCCAGTCAATATTTGTACCTGTTTTGCCGACGTTGGGCTCTTCAATTCCAAGATGGCCTTAATCTGATCTGGGCTGGCCTCAATGCCCCTTCTAGTCACTAGGTATCCTAAGAACTTACCAGATTCCACTCCAAATGCACACTTCGCTGCATTGAGTCGGAGCCGATATGTTTTAAGGATGTCAAAGACTGCTTTCAGGTCGACCAGATAACCTTTAGGTTCTTTAGTCTTCACGACCATGTCATCGATGTAGACTTCCACCGTTCTGCCAATCAGGTGTTTGAACATCTTGGTTACCAGTCTTTGGGAAGTCGCTTCTGCGTTTTTTAACCCAAAAGGCATTACTCTGTAGCAGTACAGACCTTTTGGGGTGATAAACGCAGTTTTCTCTTCATCTGGGGGATACATGGCTATCTAATGGTATCCCTTGTAGGCATCCAGGAAACTCATCCTTCCATGTCCCGAAATGGCGTCTACCAACTGATCAATCTTGGGTAGAGAAAAACTATCTTTGGGACATGCCTTGTTCAGGCTGGTAAAGTCCACGCAGACCCTCCATTTACCGTTCTTCTTCTTCACCACTACTGTGTTTGATAGCCATGTAGGGTAATTTACCTCTCGAATGGCCTTGGCCTCGAGAAGTTTGTCTACTTCTTCCTCCACTGCTTCGACGTGTATCAACGTCGGTCTTCTTGCTCGTTGGATCACTGGTTTTGCCGACCTATCAACATTCAGTTTATGGCAAGTGACCTCGTGGTCAATGCCAGGCATCTCATAAGGTGTCCAAGCAAACACCTCAATATTTGCTCTCAAAAAGGCTTCCATCTCTTTTTCTTCCTCTTCGGCTAGGCCCGAGCCAAGAAGAAAGAAGCGATCTTCATCTCCTTCTTGGACTAGGATTTTCTTCAGTGTTTCTTCACTCTTTTCGGCCGGCTCCTTGCCGACATCCTCTAGGACCTCTACGTCCTCGTCTTCAACTTCTGCCTTCTCTAGTTTTCAAATGCTGCAAGTGGATTTCATTGCTGCCATGGAGCAATTCTTTGCCTACAGCTGATCTCCTTTGGCCTCCTCAATCCCATACTCTATTGGGAACCGTAATAGTTGATGCAAAGTTGAGGGAACAGCCCTCATTGCATGCAACCATGGTCTTCCCAAAATGATGTTGTAAGGGGAGGGTGTGTCAATCACGGTGATCTCTGTTGTTATCTTCCTAGTGCTTGCTTGCACCTCCAAGCTGGTTGTTCCTAGTGGCCATGTCGGCGTTCCATTGAACCCGACCATTAGGCTATTGGATTGCTCCATATTGTCTAGGTGAAGTCCAAGCTCCTTGTAACATCAGACGTACATGATGTCACAAGAGCTGCCTTGGTCAATCAAGATGCGCTTTACTTGGCATTCCCCAACCTGGAAGGATACTACCAAGGCATCATTATGCGCGTACTGCACCATTTCAAGGTCGGCTTCAGAAAAGGACACTACTGGTCCTTGGCATTCCTCTATCCGATGTCTCTTCTCCCCGACTTGGTAGACATGTTGCAAGTGCTTCACTTTCTGGGTCTCCCCCCTGATCTCGTTTTCACTGACCTTCGAGTGAATTACATTAATCACCCGAGGTCCTCCTGCTTGAGGTTACTGTGTGGGGGGAGGTGGAGCTGCTGTCGCCTGAGGCAATCTTGCCTGTTCTTCCCTTGTTCCGGCCTCATCGACAAGGTCTCTTAGATGGCCTTGCCTCACAAGGTCTTCCAAGTGTATTTTCAGGG